GTAAAGTAATTAGCCTCCAACTAATAAAAATAATTGGGGAAAAAAATAAAAATTTTTTTAAAAAAAAGAAAATTTCATCCTGAGACACATACGGAAAGGAGCCCTGACTAGGCAAACAAATTGGGGGAAAAAAAAGAAACAAAATTGGACGACTTAATACATTCTGATTTTAAAATTTCCTACAAAGATATGGTAATCAAAACACTGACATGGCAGCATAAAGACAGACATACAGAACAACTGAACAGAATGGAGAGCCCAGAAATAAATCCTTTCATATACAGTTTAATGAATTTTGACAAGGGTGCCAAGATGATTCAATGGGGAAAGAAGAATCTGGTGCTGGGAAAACTGGATATTCACATGCTAAATAATGAAGCTGGATGCTAACCTTACACCATATGGAAAAATTAACTCAAAATAGATCAAAGACTAAAACTATAAAACTACTGTAGAAGAAAACAAACAGGAAAAAACTCCACAATGTTTGATTTGGCAATGACTTCTTGGATATGACACCAATAGCTCAGGCAAGAACAAAAAAATAGATGAAATGGACATCAAAATGTAAAACTTTTATATATCAAAGGACACTATGAAGTAAGAGAAAAGGCAACTTACGAAATAGAAGAAAATATCTGTAAACTATGTATTTGATAAGGAGTTAATAGCCAGAATATGTAAAGTTCTACAACAAAACAACAGAAAAGAAAATCTAATTAAAAAATGGACAAAAGACGTATAGACATCTTTCCAAAGAAGATACACAAATGGCCAATAGGCACATGAAAAACTGTTCAACATCATGAGTCATTAGCAAAATGTAAATCAGAACTACAATTAGATTCATTAGGATGGCTATTATGAAAAAGAATAGAAAAAACAAGTGCTGGTGAAGATGTAGAAAAATCAGAACCCTTGTGCACTGCTGACAGGAACAGATAACAGTGAAGCAACTGTGCAAACAGTATAACAATTAAAAATAAAATGTTCAAATTAAAATGGGTAAAAATTTAACATAAAACACAAAGGGACTTTCCTGATGGTCCAGTGGTTGAGAATTCACCTGCCAATACGGGAGACATGGGTTCAGTCCCTGATCCAGGAAGAACCCACATGCTGCAGAGCAACTAAGCCCACACACCACAACTACTGAGCACCCACGGTGCAACTACTGAAGCCCACACGCACCCCAGCATCCACGCTCTGCAATGAGAAGCCACCACAACGAGCAACCTGCACACCACACTGCAACGAGAGAATGCCCGCACAGAAACAAAGGCCCAGCACAGCCAAAAAAGATGAAACATAAAATTACCATATAATCCAGCAACTCTAATTACAGATACATATCCAAAAGAACTGAAAATACAGACGTGGAAAGATTATTTGTACATCAAGGCTCATAACAGCATTATGTCCAATAGCCAAAAGGTGATAACAATCCAAATGTGCATCAACATTTGGATAAATGGATAAACAAAATGCAGCATTATACATATAATGGAATATTTCAACCTGAAAAAAGGAATTAAATTCTGACATATGTTATAACGTGGATGAACCCTGAAAACATTAAGTGGAATATGTCAGACACAAAAGGACAAATACCGTGTGAGTCCACTTAAACATACTGAGAGCAGTCAAATTCATAGAAACACTAAGTAGAATGGTAGTTGCCAGGGGCTAAGGGGAGGGAGAAATGGGGAGTTACTGTTCAATGGGTACTGTTTCAGTTTGGAATGATGAAAAAATTCTGGAGATGGATGGTGGCAATGGTTGCAAGACAATGTGAATGTACTTAATTCCACTTGAGTGTATACTTAAAAATGATTAATACTGTATGTTTTTGGCCATATCACATGTCTCGTGGGATCTTAGTTCCCCAATCAGAGACAGAACCCAGGCCCACAGCAGTGAGAGTGCTGAGTCTTACTAACTACTGGACTGCTAGGGAAGTCCCCAAATGATTAATTTTATGTTATGTATATTTTACCACCAAAAAAAGGGTGAAAAATTAGAAGAATATTTTGTTGTCCAACTGCAGAACTATGGTCTGGTGGTAGCAATAGGAAGCTAGCAGAAGGATAACTACACTTTCTATCCCATGTTAGAGTATGAAAGAATACACTTTTCTTAATAAAAGGCTTCCCAGGGAGGGGTATAGTCATTAGAGAAAGCCAAGGTTTCATGAAAGTGAGGTACTGTCAAAAAGGCTGAGGCTGTAAGTGAAATATTTCTTAGAAACACAAAAAGAAATTTTAAGTTGCAGAGTGTAAAAGAATGTTTAAGTTGAACAACATAGGAAAGAGAACACAGGACCATTCAACTGGGAAAGGAGGAATAAGATTGAGAATCAAAAGGAGGAGAAAGGAAGACGGTGGGAGGACTGACTCCTAACAGCCTCAGGGCTCAGAATGGTCCTGTGCTTTGTAAATTGTAACTACAGCAAACCTTCATTCAACACTTGTTACATCACTGTCCTACGCACTTTATATGCATCACCTCCTGTTTCAACAAAATTGGCCTTGATTCTGCCTGCAACTGAATTTCTCCTCAGTTACACGAGATGTTAACTTAATATTCATTCAAATAAAAGAAATGCTTGTGGATATGGCTGCGATTTATGAAACCAACATCTTTCAAGTATTTAAAGGGGGTTTTTTTTTTTTTGGTTACCCAGTTAGTTCATGTCCCCTTAGTAGTACCTCTCCATTATCTTAACCACATTTATACTAAAATACATTAAAAACTATATTTAAACAGTAAAAATATGCAAACATAATCATACCCTAATCTTTGGTTGTTCAGTCCTAGATTTAGTATATGTTTTCCTTTCTAGTCTTTCTCCCACTCACAACACCTATCTCTGACTCCACAGTATAAATAACTTTACTGGTTTTCTAGATTACAAAAGAAAAGACAAATGTTATCATTAAAACAGAAAAAAAAAAGCAAAATCACCTCAAATGGTTAATTCTTTATTTGCATTAACATCTTATGGATTACTCCTGGATCATAAATGACCTAAAAAGCCATGTAAAGTAAGCAACAATAGACGACACACTGACACTTCAGCCAACATTCAGTAACAGAAATACTTAATATTTTTAGCATTAAAGTTCTTTTCAATCCTAATGTTGAAAAGTAAATAAGCTTGTAACTAATTCTAACAACTTCATAAACAGTTTTATTTGTAGTTTTTAGTAGTATCTGCATGCATCAAGTTCTAAATTTTAAAAACTTAGAATTGTCATCCAAAACTACAGAATTTTCCAAAATTACTCCCAGCAAGACCAATTTATTGCCTTTTAACAGCTAGTCAAAGTGCTTTGGGGAACACAGAAAAATGAAATTCATATTAATAATTTGAGTGAAAGTCACTCAGTCGTGTCTGACTCTGTGACCCCCATGGACTGTCCATGGAATTCTCTAGACCAGAATATTGGAGTGGGTAGCCTTTCCCTTCTCCAGGGCATCTTCCCAACCCAGGGATCGAACCCAGGTCTCCTGCATTGCAGGCTGATTCTTTATCAGCTAAGCCACAAGGGAAGCCCAATAATTTGAGTAGCCTATAAAATTATTTGATGTAGGGAAGTCAGTCCCATATGAAGCTGAAAAAAGCTGCCACGCAAACAACCTAAATGGATGCATTCTGTAAGAAATCTACCAGTACTGAAAATTTCTATCACCAGAATGATATCTTTAGGTTACTACCTTATTTTCAGAATGCATTTGTTAAATGTAAATTGTTCACTTGGAAGGAAGAAAAAGAAATAGATAACTTTAAAAAAAATTTAAGGAGCATGTTGTACTCAGTAAAGTTAATAGATAATTCTTTAAAAAAAAGAGTACTGAGATTCACTTCTTCAAGGAAAATACATTATACAGCAACCGATGGGTAAGGGTTTATATATTTACAATAATGACACTTAGAACTTACCTGTAAAGTCTGACTAGCTCGAGGCAGTGAGGGCCCATCAGCATGGATCACCATTACCTGACTGGGAGACTGTGACAGAATGCTAGAAGAGCAGGCAGAAGTCTAAAAATAAATAGAAAAACAAGGGTACTTTTTTGTCTAATATTAAACACATACTGAATTTAAAGTCCCTGAAGCACTCCCTGAGGGACACACAGTATATACTTCTGTTTGATAAGCAATCACTTATGTTTGACTTGATAACCTTGTAATGGATACCATATGGTCAGTGGTAGAATTTTGCGGTCATGTAAAACATCAAGCCAACAAAGGTCTGTCTAGTCAAAGCTGTGATTTTTTCTAGCAGTCATGTATGGATGTGAGAATTGGACTATAAAGAAAGCTGAGTGCCGAAGAAGTGATGCTCTTGAACTGTGGTGTTGGAGAAGACTCTTGAGAGTCCCCTGGACTGCAATGAGATCCAACCAGTCCATCCTCAAGGAAATCAGTCCTGAATATTCATTAGAAGGACTTATGCTGAAGCTGGAATACTTTGGCTCCCTAATGCAAAGAACTGACTCATTGGAAAAGACCCAGATATTGGGAAAGATTGAAGGCGGGAGGAGAAGGGGATGACAGAGGATGAGATGGTTGGATGGCATCACTGACTTGATAAACATGAGTTTGAGTAAGCTCTGGGAGCTGGTGATGGGACAGGAAGTCTGGCGTGCTGCAGTCCATGGGGTCGCAAAGAGTCGGACACGACTGAGCTGAACTGAAAACATCATGGAGATCTCTTAGAGGAACCTCAAGGAGGTGCCAGGAACCTCCATACTCATCTACAACATAGTAGGTTTATATTATAGTATACAGTAAGATTATTTATAGGATGCAGAGTAGTTGAGGACATACTTTAATATTTTAAAATAATATTTTAAAACATTAAATGCAGAGTTAGCTTTTTTAAAAATGAATAAGCTTCAAAAATAAGCTTTATGATATAAACAAGGCTTAGCATTAAAAAAACTGCAGTAAAGGTATCTTACATTCCATAAATGCCTGATTTTTATGCTCTTACCTTAAACTGATCCAGAATTTGAAGTTTTTCCCATTCTATTTTATCACTTTCAGATTTTTTCCATGGATTATTCCATTTTTCAGAAGCTTCCTTTTCTTTCTTCTTTAAAGCAACCTGTTCATCTGTAAATAATGTCCTTTTTTAAAAAATATGTAAAAACTGTAAAAAAGAAATCACGTAAACAAATCATGACCTTCTTAAAGAGTGCAGATGTTTAAGAAGATCTACTCAAAATTGTTTTTGAGGAAGGAGGTTAACTCACAAGACAGAGAGACTTCTAAGAGATATGAAATAAAACATTTAATCAGAAACAAATTTAAGTATGGCATAAATGAATGTAAAATGTTTGTTTTACTATAAATAAGGAACAATTTTTCAGAACATATTTTATATCATGCTAATTATGTGAGGTTCTATTCTTCGGTAATGTTCATTCAATTATTACTGACAGACTTAAAAGGCTAGAACACTGAAGTCAGAAAAACTGGGTTCAAATTGAAGGTCAACCACTTCCCTGCTGTGTGACTGTGGGAAAACTGACATTCACTCCTCTAAACCCACGTTTTTACTTTGCAAAAGGAGATTAATAATAGTGCTTATTCTCAGTAGAGGGCCTCATACAAAGTATTTTAAAAATGTCAGGCACTATTATTCATAATTGCTGAAAAGTAAAACACATAAAATCATGTGTCCAAATTTGTATCGAAACATTTAAAGCTGAATTATGATATAAACACACATCTGATCTCCAAATCTTCTGATACCGCTGCTATACATTTATTTAATTTCTTCACTCTTCTATTACTTTGACTTCCAATAGCAATTCACTCCCAGGTTCTTCTACTTATCTCTTTTTCTAGATCACCTGTTCCGGCAGGGCTATGACTAACCAGAAACTTTCCAGTTCAGTGGACAATGAATTTCACCTTCATGCTTTTAGTAGTACAACTATTTCTAAAAAGTACAACTATTACTTCAGTATTTTTCAAGCGCTCGTACCTCTACCCTAAGTCTAACCCAAGAAGTAACAGGAGTTTCTTAGTTGTTGTCTTAGTTACCTGAAAATCCAACTTAACACAAATTATAAATTATTTTATTATGATATCCACAGACTGCAAAAGAGAAATAAGCTTGTTTTTGCAGGGGATATACTGATTGATATCCTACTGATGGCTGTTGATTAGAAAGTTTTAATTTTTGAAATGAAATATTTTTAAACAAAACCATTTTCAACCTATAAAATTTCTGTAATGGAAAAATAAGAAAATGGATTCTCAGGAAATGAGAAATGTTTAGAAACCTTTGTTTGAGCTCCAGAATGATAATGATATTAATGTTCATCTTTGGATGAACACCACAGAGCACTAAAAAAAAAAAAAGACATAACATAAAGGAATGTGAAATCATAAAGTTTATTATGCCATTTGCAGAGAACTACTCTAGATGGTGAATGATATAAAACAAGGTTTTGGATAATATACTGAAATATATATTTCATCCTCAATATATATTCCTTAGACAAGAAAACTATTAATAATAATAAAAGGTGCAGTAATTACCTACCAAGCTCTTTCCTCCACTGGGCTTTTTTTGCTTCCAACAAACTTCTATCACGTTCTCTTTCTCCCAGAGTACTGAATATGTCAGCTGGTTTCCATACATTCTCTCTAAGACAAATATAAAAAAATAACAGAAACCTTATTATACATTTCTATAAACTTACTCCATAAATATTAAGTAATAAAACATTAAATAGCTCTAGTCTTTAGAATAAATATTTCACATACAAATCAAGGAAAAGTAAAATCATATTCCCAAGATGACCCCGTAACAGATATGAGTTACATACGTGGAAATTTTCTGCTCACACTGATTAGATGTCACCTGACTTTTATTTAAAACAGATGTGCTTTCATCCTGAATAGATGAAACAGTCTCAGGTTTTTGGAGGAGTTCCATGATGTTCTCGTTCTTTGGCTTATCAGGAATATTGTTTAAATTTAGACTATACTGACCTACAAGGTAAAATGCATGTTTTAAAATTAATACTAAAATTGCAGAATGATAATGATATTAATGTTCATCTTTGGATGAACACCACAGAGCACTAAAAAAAAAAGACATAACATAAAGGAATGTGAAATCATGAAGTTTATTATGCCGTTTGCAGAGAACTACTCTAGATTGTGAATGATATAAAACTAGGTTTTGGATAGTATACTGAAATATATATTAGTCACTCAGTCGTGTCCAACTCTTTGCGATCCCACGGATTGTAGACTACCAGGCTCCTCCATCCATGGGATTTTCCAGGCAAGAGTACTGGAATGGGTTGCCATTTCCTTCTCCAGAGGATATTCCCAACCCAGGGATCGAACCCGGGTCTCCCACATTGTAGGCAGACAGTTTACCATCTGAGCCACCAGGGAAGTCCCTGGTGGAAGTATATGTTGATATACTGCAATACAATTTTTTAAAAATACTGCCTTACACAATATCTAATTAATTACTTCTTACAGCAGTTCTTGCAGTGGGTATTACAATTCCATTTTTGTTAAAAAAGGAAACTGAGTCTCAGAGGTTAAATGGCCCAGAGGTATGGCCATAGCCATACAAACTTTTATTTCAACTAAGAAAACAAGCAACAATAACGAAGGAAAAAACTTCCATTTACTCTTGCCAACAATACTTTTACAAATAAAATAAATAACACAAATCACAACTTAAAGGAGAATAAATGCAAATAGATTTAGGAAAAACAACTCATTACCTTGTCCTTATTTTTCTCATTTAGCTGGGAAATCAATCACTGCAGAACTTTTCCATGGACTACTGTATATTATCTATTCCAAATATTTTATACAGGGCACATATGCTTGGCTCAAAAAATTCTTTACCACTGAGCCACCTGGGAAGCCTTAAAAGCAACTATACTCCAATAAAAATTAATTTTAAAAAAGGACTTCCCTGGTGGTCCAGAGGCTAAGACTCTGAGCTCCCAAAGCAGGGAGCAATCCCAGGTGCAATCCCTCCTCAGCGAACTAAATCCCACAGCCCAACTAGAGATACTGCACTCCACAACTGAAAAACAGATTGAAGATCCCATGTGTCACAACTAAGTGCAGCCAAATAATTACACAAAAATATTTTTAAAATAATAAACTTTTAAAAACTTTTAAAGATAAAGGCTAGCACTCTCACTTTACAAAGAATAATCTACCCCAAGAGGAGGTAAATTACTCCATTTTGAGCCCCATGGAAATGTTAAGGAGCTACCTGGTCCCCAAACCAGTTGTGGGCCCTCTTTCTAGTGACTGTTAATTTTATTTTTATTTATGTCACCGTTGCCTAACAAAATTCTAATAATATTTCTACTCATAGTCACAATTCCTTAGCTTAAAGCTGAAACTAGAAGGCTTTTAAAAAAATAATGCAATGCCCTAATTAGTAAAATAAAAGGCATATAATACTCTACTACTTCCAAGTCAGTGTTTTACATTGGTTAAAAAGATAGTGCTGTCAATTCTTAGCAAGGACTGAGGGTCAGGAAGAGCAAAAGCCAGGCCAGGAATATAATCCTTTTCAGCAACTCGTGTCTAATCTCCATAGCAAAATTCTCATCATTTTTCACTAGAAATACTATAGTAATTTTTTTTGAACATTTTACATATTTATTTTTCATCTAAGTAAAGCCTAACATTCTAAAATTAGCACAGCAGCTTTCTTTCTGTACTAACATCTAGATGCACAAAGCTGAATTTCTTAAGGCTATGGTACATGAGAATAATATTCTTAGCATTAATGTTAAATAAAACATGGCATATTTTAACTATAAGAGTAATTTTGCATATGAGAGAATGTCTTCTAAACAAATATTTATTTTAAAACTTCATGCACTAAACTAGAATTTAAGAGGCAGTTATGTAAAATACAATGAAACTCAAATCCTAAAACACTTACATATTGATAAAATATTAAAATTTTAGAAAAATCTTACTTGTTTCCTCCTGCTTTTCATTCTCAGTCAGGGTAAGAGATTTACTTCCTTGGTTTACAGTCATCAAAATTCGTTGTAGTTGGTCTTCTGTTAGACACACCAAACTGCTCTTTCTATTTTCAGCTATGATGTGTTTTCTGCAAGGCTTCTGTTTAGCTACTACAAATGTATTCATGGTGTTTCTAGTCTTCTGTATATTAGGCGGTGGAAATGAAATTTCTTTCTCGATATGAAGACTGTCTTTGTCTGCATACTGTTTGCATAAATCCTTAGTGGGTGAAAAAGTCATACTATTTTTTTCACCTTTTACCAGTGAAGTTTCTGAACCAATTCTTTTCTTTTGCAAAAATTTTTCACTCCTGACACAAGTATTTTGTGATTTTAGAATGTATCCAGTTTTAGTTCGTAAAGGATATTTTGCAGTCTTGGTTTTATTTCCCATCTGTTAAAACAACAGAAATTTATTATTTATAATAGCATATGAAAAATCAACAATTATCTCTATAATCAATGATAAGTCAGGCTTTGAAACTTTTTTCCCTCCCTTTTGCTAGTCAGGTAATATACCCATAGAAACTCACACTTAACCTTTGCAAATCTTCACTTGAATCAAGCTGGTGGGTCACCATCCCTTTCTCTAACCTAACTCCTATCTTAACTACTGGTGCTTTCACATTGTTTGAATACCCTCACTTCCCTGGACTCTGCTCCTATATGCTTATCTTCCATGCTACCTCAGTTACTTATTCCCACAGTGGTATCTTATATTGACCTTGTAACTACCCATAACTGTAACCTTTTAAAATCACAATTTCAACAAGAACCTCCAGTCATAGACCTTAGCACTCATCAATCCCTCTAATCAGACATTACTCCTTCAAATTTTACATGGCTCATTCACTAACCACCTTCAAATCAGGGGTCCAACATGACTGGCTCATGGAAGTCTTCTCTGAACACTCTTATTAAAAATTGCAGGCTTCCTGCTCTAAACTCACTCCCACCTTGCTACTCCCACCATTTTCCCAAGACTACTGTGCCCGACACCACCCTTATGGCAGAAAGCTCCAATACTTTGGTCACCTGATGCGAAGAACTGACTCACTGGAAAAAAGCCTGTTGCTGGGAAAGACTGAAGGCGAGAGGAGAAGAGGATGAGAGGATGAGATGGTTGGATGGTATCACAGACTCAGTGGACATGAGTTTGAGTAAACTCCAGGAGTTTGTGATGGACAGGGAGGCCTGGCATGCTGCAGTCCATGGGGTCACAAAGAGTTGGACATGATTGAGCAACTGAACTGAACTGTGCCCCTTCCCTTTCTCTCCTTTATTTTGCTCTATACCACTTTTGGTATTGTAATATTCTATATTTATTTTGATTATTTTCTGCCCATTCCACCTTTTTCTAATTTAAACTCCACATGGCAAAGATTTTTGTTTGCTTTGTCCACTGTTGTGTCCCTAGTATCTGAACAGTGAGTGGAACAGGGTAGGTTTAAGGAAATTTTGTTGAGTGACTATCTTCGACTACACCATTTGAAGACCGAATTCTTTATCTCTCATCCCCAAGTTAGTGTCCCTTTCCAAATTATCTAATTTTTGTAGCACTGCTGTTCTAATCTTTCAGATCAGTAACCATGGGGTCATCTTTGAATCTTTATTTTCCTTCAAGGTGTTCTTTAGTTTACCAGCAAATATTGGTCATTTCTTCCTTCCAAATGTCTTTTTCTCCCCTTTTATATGACAATAAATCTAAATTGAGGTTTTCATTACCAAACTATTACAGCTTGCTTATCTCAAATCTATCTCTTATCTAACCCACTGTACATTTCTGCAGACACATCTAACATAAAGTAATTCAACAGCCATTCAGTCAATATTAAGTGTAGTTCTTTAGGTGATCAACACTATGAAAAAGATGCCAAAGGCATAAAATGAGTAAGACAAAATTCCTGCTGTCAAGGAGTAGGAATGGCTTTCATCTGGCTCATCATATCTCAAATCTCCTTACTTTAAAAAATTACATAATACATAACCATACTCTGACCAATTAATCAACCTCATTTTACCCTACTTTTCAAAATGTACCATACCACCAGCAGCAAAATCTCTTATTATCCTCTTCATCCCACGTACACCCTTTTATCCTAGGCTTTAAGACTTTCAATAATACTAATAGCACAATGTAACATGCTCCTTTACCCTCTATCACTATGGCTATTTTTATATAACTAACTCTTTCAATGAAAAGTGACCAATTTATACCTACTGCAAACTAGGCTGGGTGGCAAGTAGGATGAACTGAAGAGCACTTATCCGTCTAAAGCAGGCAGCCACCAGTCAGAAGCAGCTTACATTGACAAATAGGAATTTGAGTCTACTTACTAGATCATCCAGTATTTCAAGAGAACCAAAAATGCCATATTTTACCTTAAAGTTCCAATTTTTAGACAGTCACAATTCATTCTAGTTTTTGAAAATCACTGTGTGAAGCAAATTATCAGCAGACTGCACGTAGCTTACCAGGCTGAGCCCTACACCGCGATCACCAACCACTACAGCTACTACTACTGCCCGCTCTTTGCCCCATACTGACGTTTTGGGATCATGAACAGCTGAGCATTTCAGTTCTCGAGTCAGTTTCTGACTCAAACTGCTAAGAAGCATAGTGTATGCCATTAATGTATCTTAAAAATTTCTTACTTTTGTCCCCTTCTTTATATTCTGATAACCATCATACTTCAGGAACTCATAAAACTTCCTGGACTAAAATAACTAGCTCTAAGTAGTGTTCCTGTTATGATAATCTGTCCTTCACAGAACTGCCCAAAGCCCTTTCTTACAACACAAATCCTATCTAGTCTACTTTTCAAAACAAGTAAGTTCAAACCCTTTGAATATACATTTAAACCCCTCACAATTGTAACCACACTAAGTTTTATGTTGTACATTCCCTGCTGATATACACACTATCCCCAAATACAAATTATGGTTTGTACTTTGGTATTCTGCCTGCTATTTCCTTTGAGTTTAGAATATACTTCTCTACTACTTTCACTATGAATATTTCCCTCATCTTTTAAGTTTTAACTAAAGAGTCAGCTCATTTATGAAGTGTTCCCGGTCTCCTCAAACCACAAAGGACTGCTCTTTGAAAAGTTTTTTTCTTTTTATAACCCTAGTATGGTACACATTTTATTTTACTTGTAATATATAGTTATTTATTGAACTGACAGTACTGCTTTTAAGAAACATGGAATTGGTGTTACTTCTTTTTTTCTCTCAGAGTCACAGAACAAATACAGTCAAGAATGTAGCTATACACACATAGTGGAGTTTCACAGCTGCAGTAACTTCTTTTAAACAGAAACCTATTAATTGTGGCCCCAATTTAACTAGAACTATTTTGCCACAGTCTACTTATACCAGAAATAAATACAGAAAAAAATCACCTAAAAGTATTTAATGAAAAAGTGGGGTAGCAATGTCTGGCATGAGATCAATAAACACTCAGCTCAATCCTGAATATGTTTGTAGCTTAATACCTGAGAAGAGTAATGAGAGGAAGCAGCAAAAAAATCATGAACTATCAAATAAATATTCTATTACGTTCAAGTTACGTAACAGGAAAAAGCAATCTAGCCCATATCATTTTCCAAGTGTTTACTGGATCAGATGAATTTTAATTGATCAAGTAGGGTATTAATGTCATAAACATTTCTATGTAGCATGTTGCTCTTTACCTAAATTTAAAAATTTTTTAATGTTTTAATTGTACCAATATTTTTCATAATATTAAAAAAGATATAAAGACAGGGTCCAATGCATTGAATACTGGTAGACTTCAGAATTTATGTGGAACCAGGATCCCAAGGTCAGAAAGATTCAGAGAGAATTAATATTTTAAAATATAAAACATGCTACCTAGCACTAATACTATATGCATCTATTAGTGTGGCATTATTCTGATTCCCACACGTAGAAATATCTGCAAACATTTTTGTAATGTTTTATATTTCAATTAATTGAGATATTTTTATGACTTTATACATTACCCATGACACTGAATCATTAATATTTCTCTCATTTCTCTTCCTATAAAAGCTAAAGAAATTAGACTGGCAACCATATTTATTTCATATTCACTCCCACAGATTAAAGAAAAATGCAGGAGAGATTTTGAAAAAATTACAGTACTCAGACCACAGCGTGTTAAACTTGATGATGGGCTAGAGCTCACAGTGTTTCAAGAGCACACTGTGAACATGACTGTAACTCAATGGAGGAGAAGATGAAAACAGAACTGCAGGCAGTATGCTCACTCAGGAGCTAACCCTAACAGAAGAGAAAAGCACTATGACGAGTGAACTTATGAACAGCTTACAGAAAAGAGAAATCAATATATAGCTGCAGAATTGAGATTTAGGAAACTTAGGGTGCATCAGTACTTTCTTCCAGCTTTACTGAGGTTTAATAGGTGTGCAATTTGATATAAGTATATATTGTGAAATAATTACCACAATCAAGCTAATTAACTTATCCACCACCTCACATAGTTACCATGCATTAGTATTTTGGTGTCCCCAAAGCAAGAGGAGTAAAACAATCTGTTTTAATTCAATAAATAAATATCTAGACCCCTAAAAGAATTTTGAAAGGATTTTACCAAAAGTCCAAGACTAGTAACTTTATTACAGGCATAAAAGGGGATCTCCGATGTTCCAAGTTGGTTAAAAAGATAATGAAATGTCTTCACAAATGTACTGACAATAACATATCCATGAAGGACACAACTGAAGAGGGAATATGTACAAGAAAATAAGAGACCAGGGGAAGACACAAATCAACTATTACAGGTAGTCTTTTGTTTGTTTTTAAATCTAGGAGCTTGAAAAGGAGTACTGTATTTGTTACTGTGACTCAAATAAAAATAACTGTTGCAATGTTTTAAGGCAGAAAAATATTTTCCAATTAAGGGAACACACAAGGTATGCATATACTGTGTGTGTATGTAACAATTTTTATAGGTAGCTTGTGGAATTACGTAGACCATTATCACCCATTTACCAAGTAACTGATAAGCTGGGAACTCAAGCATCTTCTCCACCTTGATTAAACCTGGAAACCAAAGCCACCAAGGGTTCAGAATTGATAAGTGCGACATCATCCAAACTGGGCTCTGCTCAAGATATGGAAAAACAGACTTTAAGATGCTGCAAAATAAAGGGGGCTACAGAAACTTATGGAGGAGAATAGAAATTTCTGCTGCTTAATGGGAAAAGGAATGGGAAACAAAAAGTGGTATCAAAATTTTGAAGTGGTAATGTATTCTGCAGAAAACGGCACTGTGTGTTCCTGATAAGGAAAAATAATTGAAAAGGAAAATTATCATTTAGCTTAAATGTAACCTGTTAGACTAAGAAGCTAAATGCATTTAAGATTTTGTCAATCAAATACATCCATTTGGTGTGGGAAAATGGAATCTGAGTATGAAAAAAGAACTTTGTTTAAAAGTCTGTTTTTAAAGATCTCAGGAGTTACACTGTCCAGTACAGTAGTTACTAAATTGAAATTAAAAATAAAATAAATGAATTAACAATTAACTTCCTTAATCACACTGGTCACATTTTAAGTCCTTGACAGCTACACATGGCTAGTTGCTGGCTGCCATATTGGACAGCACTGATTTTACGATGTTTCCATCACTGCAGAAAGTGCTACTGGACAGGACTGATCTGGAGAAAGAAATTCTAGAAGTCTTTTTGAACTGAAAAATTACAATTCCATTTCTGTGAAAGGACCAGCTTGAAAGCAAGCAAACAGTAACTTTTCATCATCACTCCAAATCCTTTATGATAATTTGACAGGAATTATTTTCAAACCACTGTAAAGTGAATTGCATTTTACATTTGAAAACAAGTCAGGTCAAAGTCATTTGGCTTACCTTTCCAGAAATTTTTGATTTATGGTCTACAAAAGAAAAAAAAATTACTAAACTATCAACCAAAAACATACTAAGGCAGTCAAAAAGAAAATTTTAATTAGCATTGTTTTAAGAAGATATTAACTAAAAATATTAACCCCAAAAAACATTAACTTTAGATATTAAATGTTTTAACTTTTACAGTGTGGTTCCAACAGTTCTATTTCATTTTTGTTCACTTTCCAAGGTAAAACTACAAATAGTTTAGAGAAAAAGAAGATACTCTGAATGAGAAGAGTACCAAAGCATACTCCTGAGTTTTAAAACTAATACTAAAAATGACTTTAAAACTATGGTCTTATTATAAATTGAATTTTCTCAAATAATACATTATTTACATGCACAGAACATAAATACATAAATTTCACCTAGATTACTCATTAGACAATAAGCATGTTTGCTACATACAAATATAACAAAGAGATGTTACATATGAAATATACTCAAACATTAAATTATATGAATAAATACTGACAGTGGTAACCAATGATGTGATTTGACTCTACTTGGCTAAAAATAAATTTGAGAAAGTTAGGGAAACCAGTTTTTTTCAAAGTATCATTTAAATATTCTACTACAAGCAAAAAACCTGTTACAAAATAATACATTTTATGTAGGAATCTAAAAGTTTATATTTTAGATTTCCAGTAACATAGCATACCATATGGAGATAATATAAGCTTGGTTTTTCCATTCAATAATTCCGTTTCAAGCTTTAAACCATCTCTGCAAAATAAAAGAAAGCTGTCTGTCATTTTTAAGAAACAGCAACATTTTAAATAGCCAGAAATGTTATTTGAACCTTGAAAGTAAATTTGTTCTTTGGAATTAATACAGGAACCTTGTAAATATTAAACCATTAAAAAAAAAATTTGTGTTCATTTTTTTAAAATTGAGGTATAACTGAAATCATTCTTTTAATTTAAAACATTTTTCAATTCAAGATAAAATTTAAAACTACATAGAAAAAATTCTTGAAACTTTCCTACAAAGAATTTATCATATTCAACCTGAAACTTCTTTTTGTTCAGTTCAGCTGCTCAGTCATAAAGGAATAAATTCATCTGGTTATTCTAACATCATTTAATTCTTTTAACCCTAGACTGGGAAAAAAAATAATGCTGTTAGGAAATTCCTCCCCTATATTAAAGGAGCAAAACCTCTAGTTACTATTTATTAGTTTCATAATGGTCTCATGACTAATACATTCTATGGCCTAGTAGAGCAGTATTTGGAAGTGAACCTGTAAGAGTGCCACCAGTGTTATAAACTGCTTGAGCATGGAGTTTTATTTTGAATATTTCAACTAATACACACTCAGACTTGGTGATGCTTTTTAAAGTATCACAGCAATACACCTACATATCCCCCCTGTACTTTATCTGTGACTGCCAAATTCAAGAGTACAAAGTAACAGTAGTTACTGTCAATGAAAATTGAACGTTTGTTAAAGTCCAAATAAAAATTTCACTAAAACCAAAAGCAGCAGTACACAGTTATTATAATATTTTAGTAAGGTGACAGGGGCAGGAGAGAGGAAGAGAAGAAGTAGGTCAGTATCAACAGGGACAAAAATGATGTCCACAGTAAAAAAAATTAAACCCAGCAGACCAAAAAAAGGGAATATGAAATTTGCTGTGATGCTAAGGTGGGAGACATCAAACGACCTCAATTTATGATTAACATAAAACACTGTAAAGAATGGGTTTTAAGGGTTTCCCAGTTGCACAGTCATAAACAGTTCATGTTAACATTGGTGAAATTTAAACAAAAGACTTTGAATGAAATTGTAAAGTACGTTTATTCAGTCCTACTGCATTGCAAACGCCTTCAAGGGCTGTCTTATGTATTTGCTATCCCTAGATTCTATTTGCTAAATGAGGTGCATGTGTGTAAGTTTGGTGACTTTTCATCTTCTTAAAATGTCAAACTTCCCAATGATGCAAACCACGCAACGGTCCTTCTTATTCGGCTTCCCTGATGGCTCACAGGATAAAGAAACTGCCTGCAATACTGGAGACCAGGGTTCAATCCCTGGGTCAGGAGAGTCCCCCCGGAGAAGGGAATGGCAACCCACCCCAGTATTCTCGCCTGGAGAATCCCATGACAGAGGAGGCTGGAAGGCTATAGCCCATGGGGTCTCCATGCAACGGTCCTTCTTACTCAACCACTGGCTCCTGAAGAAGGAAATGGCAACCCACTCCAGTATTCTTGCCTGGAGAATCCCATGGACAGACGAACTTGGCAGGCTACAGCCCATGGGGTCACAAAGATTCGAACATGACTGAGTAACTAACCACCACCACCACCACCACTATCTAATGAGGGCCTATAAGATGTCAAACATAAATGATCCATGGCTCCTCGAGAAGCCTCGGCTCTTTGCACTGCAGGCGCTAAGCTTCTCTGGGCACTCCAACACTGCAAAAAACCCCACGACAGAGACGCAAAGCACCCGAACCTGGGCCAGGATTTCTCCCCGGGAATCTGCTAAGCTTTATCTCTCCGCCTGCCCTCACCTTTTACCTCCTCTCATGCCTCTCCTCCTTCTCCCTCCTGAGATACAGCAGGAAGCGAAAAGGAGAGACGGACAGTTTTCACGCGAGTTATTAATTTGAAAAGTAAAAGGCCGACCCAGCCCCTTGCCCCTCTCCACTTCAGGGAGCTGGCACTGCAGCTGAGGACGACACAGGACTGGAAGTTTCCCCGCGAAGGACTCCACGGGTCAATTAAGTCTCGCCCTTCCACAGACGACCACCTTTCTCTCCCCAGCTTACCCCAAGTTCATGGCCTGACCTCCCGCGCTCTCCACAGGACGCTTAAGCCCCTTGTGTACGCCGGTTGCTGCCGTCGCTCAACAAGCACTACGCCGATTGGATACAGTGATGCCGGCGAGCTAGGAGAGCGGGCCAATCAGGATTGAGTATACTGGCGCCTGCGCTTGGGGGCGAGGCTCCAAGAGCACTGCCCTTTCGCCCCACCTGGGGTTTGTGGTCCTGATTCTAGAATGGTGTTAGTTCTTAACCGGGGAATTGCAGCCCCTAGGGTTCACAGAGAGCTCTCAGAAGTGCGTCAGCTCAAGTGGAGGTGGCAAAAGTAGGAGAAACAAAAGGCATTAACATTGTTTGGGAATTAACATTTGCTATATTGTACATTTGGAAGAGAGGCTTATTTTAGTGTAAAATAAGTTAGGGAGGGGGTACTGGATGGGGAAGATCCCCTGGAGAAGGAAATGGCAACCCACTCCAGTATTCTTGCCTGAGAAATCCCATGGACAAGGGGAGCGTGGTGGGCTACAGTCCATGGGGTCGCAAAAGAGTCAGACATGATTTAGCGAATAGACAACTGGAGAGAGACTCCTAGAGCAGGTACCTGATATATCTTATTTCTAGCTGTGACCACGCGTGAAGCCCAGTGCACTGGAGCTCTTCGTAAACTGCAGCAACAACTGCAAGTGCTAAATAGTGCCACACCTGGATCTAAGGGCCTTATGTGTCTTATTTAAGCTTTACCACCTGATCCCTGAAGCACGAAGAGGTCCAGGAACTTGCCTAAGGTCACTTACCAAGCGTTGTAGCCGGAGAGTCCTCTTTTCAATCTAGTGTTACAGGAGCCTCCTATTCATCCTTCAAACCTCAATTTAAACATCACTTCCGCCAAGGAGCTGGAGGAATTCTCTAGTGGGTAAATTAGGAGCCCAGTCTCTGGACTTCCCATTCCCTACCCTTTCAATCAGGGTACTAACACATTTTAGATCTTGTGTTAGGGAGAGCCTCTGAGGAACACTCTTGGTTTTTCACAACTCTATGCTCACAGCACTTAGAACTGAACAGTATAGAAAGTAAATATTTGTTAAGTGAATGAACAGCATAAATTTTTAATGGCAACAACACCTTTATTAAATTTGGCGATGCTATTTCATGATGAAGATGCCCCTAGACATAATGAAGGTACTAAAAGTTTATGAATTTTTTATCTATCTTTTCTTAAATGACTTTTAAAAACAGTTGTAATAAATGTGGCACACTGACTTCTTATGGTCCATTCAGTAAAAACTGAAAGACATCCTTGAATATTCATTTATGTATTGGGTCTGTGGAAAATAAATTTAGAAACATTTGATAATTTATTTGATTAAATGAACAGATACCCTTGTATAGTTGATCCTCTGTTGTTTTTGTTTTAAGTAAAAGTCATCTGTTCATAGGGGGAAAAAAAGCTAAAAGGATTTAAACCAACATGTTAGCAGAAGTATTTCTGGGAGCTAACATAGTATGACTTCTAAAATTTTGTTTCTAACTTTAATTATTATGAAAGTGTTTAAAGGAAAACAAGAGTAGTTCAATGAACACCCTCTACCTAGATGTTACATTTGTTAATATTTTGCTACATTTGCTTTTTCTCTCTGCACATAGACAGACACACACATATACCCACGTCCTTACCAGTTTATAGGTACATGCATGTACCTACTCACTTTTTTTTTGCATCACTATTTGCAAGTTACAGACATTAACACTTTGCCTGTAAACATGAAAGCATGTATTACTAAGAATAAGATCTAGCCACAGCGCTATTATTACACCTAAGAAAATTATCAATTTTATGATAATATGGAATGTTCCAATTCCCCATCTAATTTTCCCCACTTGTTCTAGGAATACATTCTATATAGGTGAAGGGAATTAAGAAATAAAAACCTCTAGTTATAAGATAAATAAGCCACATGGATATAATAAACAGCATAAGGAGTATGGTCAATAATATTGTAGTAACTTTTAATGGGAACAGATCATTACTAGACTTACCACATTGATCGTTTCATAATGTATGCAAATATATAAAAGTGTACTATTTAGTACACTTGAATTGAAAGTTATAGAATATTGTATAGCAACTATATCTCAATAAAAAGAGAACATTTTAAGATGTTATTATGTAGGGTTTCCCTGGTGGCTCCGTACTGAAGAATCCACCTGCTAATACAGGAGACACATGTTCGAGCTGTGATCCAGGGAGATCCCACATGATATGCAGCGCCTGAGCCCCACACGCCAGAGCTACTAAAGCCCGTGAACCCTAGAGTTTGTGCTCTGTAACACGAGAAGCCATAGCAATGAGAAGCTTGTGCACCTCTTGCACTTCAGATTGGTGCAAGACTACTTCAATCCCCAAGTGTATTGTGAGGCAGGAATCAAGGATAAGTTTCCCAGTGTAGCACCCAGTAACACTCCATCCTTCTTTATGGTCTGCCTGAGATCCACTCCTCCAGAAAAGAGAGTTTAGTTAAATATTTTGGATTGGTTGTGTAAGGGCATGTAAAGTTTGGAGGCACTATAAGCATACCTTTCATTTATATGCAACCGAGTTGCCTCAGGTCTTACTACCTTGTGGGTGCAAAGAGTGTCACCTTGGCGATAATCATGCTCCAAGCTGCACTGGTGGCATCTTGGCCAAGGCTAAGAACTTCTGGATTTCACTACCAGTGCACTGGAGCCCTTGAGGTATCCAAGCCCTTTGTTCTCTCTGTTTAGTGCACAGTATAGTTTTCCAGGGCTTTGGATCCAGACTGCGTGGGGTCAGATCCCAGCTTTGTTGCACACCAGCTGTGTGATCAAAGAAAGTTATTAACCTGATTCAGTTTTATCTTTGAAACAATGAAGATGAATACTAGTATTCTACTTCATAGGGCTGTTATAAGGGTTACATGAGCTTAAACACATGCATAAGTCCTCTTGGAGGAGATCACCATTAGCCCTACCATGGAGACATCAGACTCCAGGACTGGGCTGCCACAGGCCAAACTACAGGGAGGGAGCACAGCACTAACTATGAGCAGAAAATAGAATTAAAAGGTTTACTGAACATGGCCCATTCCTTGAGAACCTCATAAACAGTATGAAAAGGCAAAAAGATTTGACACTGAAAGATGAACCCTCCATGTCAGTAGGTGTTCCATGTGCTATTGGAGAAGAATGGATAAATAGCTCCAGAAAGAATGAAAAGAATGAGACAAAGCAGAAACAGCACCCAGCTGTGAATGTGTCTAGTGGTGAAAGTAAAGTTCAAGGCTGTAAAGAACAATATTGCATTGGAACCTGGAATGTTAGGTCCATGAATCAAGATAAATTGGATGTTGTCAAACAGGAGATGGCAAGAGTGAACGTAGACATGTTAGGAATCAGTGAGCTAAAATGGACCGGAATGGGCAAATTTAATTCAGATGACCGTTTTATCTACTACTGTAGACAAGAATCCCTTAGACGAAAAGAAGTAAACCTCAATGTCAACAGAGTCCTAAATGCAGTCAGTCAGTTCAGTTGCTCAGTCGTGTCCAAATATTTGCAGTCCCATGAACTGCAGCACACCAGGCCTCCCTGTCCATAACCAACACCTGGAGCTTGCTCAACTCATGTCCATCAAGTTGGTGATGCCATCCAACCATCTCATCCTCTGTTGTCCCCTTCTCCTCCTGTCTTCAATCTTTCCCAGCATCAGGATATTTATCGCTGAGTCAGTTCTTTGCATCAGGTGGCCAAAGTATTGGAGCTTCAGCATCAGTCTTTCCAATGACTATTCAGGACTGATTTCCATTAGGTTTGACTGGTTTGATCTCCTTGCAGTCCAAGGGACTCTCAAGAGTTTTCTGCAACACCACAGTTCAAAAGCATCACTTCTTCGGTGCTCAGCTTTATTTATGGTCCAAGTCTCACATCCATACACGACTACTGGAAAAACCATAGCTTTGACTAGATGGACCTTTGTCTGCAAAGTAACATCTCTGCTTTTTAATATGCTGTCTAGGTTGGTCATAGCCTTTCTTCCAAGGAGCAAGCATCCTTTCATTTCATGGCTGCAGTCACTATCTATGGTGATTTTGGAGCCCAAGAGAATAAAGTCTGTCACTGTTTCCATTATTACCCCATCTGTTTGCCAGGAAGTGATGGGACCAAATGCCATAATCTTAGTTTTTGTAATGTTGATTTTAAGTCAGCTTTTTCACTCTCTTCTTTCACTTTCATTAACAGGCTCTTCAGTTCCTCTTCACTTTCTGCCATAAGGGTGGTGTCATCTGTATATCTGAAGTTATTGATATTTCTCCCAGCAATCCTGATTCCAGCTTGTGCTTCATCCAGCCTGGCATTTCACATAATGTATTCTGTATATAAGTTAAATAAGCAGGGTGACAATATACAGCCTTGGTGGACTCCTCCATTTGGAACTAGTTCATTGTTCCATGTCGGGTTCTAACTGTTCCTTCTTGACCTGCATGCATATTTCTCAGGTGGCAGGTCAGGTAGTCTGATATTCCCATCTCTTGAAGAATTTTCCACAGTTTATTGTGATCCACACAGTCAAAGGCTTTGGCATAGTCAATAAAGCAGAAGTAGATGTTTTTCTGGAACTCTCTTGCTTTTTGATCCAATGGATGTTGGCAATTTGATTTCTGGTTCCTCTGCCTTTTCTAAATACAGTTTGAACATCTAGAAGTTCTTGGTTCACGTTTTGTTGAAGCCTGGCTTGGAGAATTTTGAGCCTTACTCTGCTAGCATGAGTGTGAAATGTGAAATGAGTGCAATTGTGTGGTAGTTTGAACATTCTTTGGCATTGTGTTTCTTTGAGATTGGAATGAAAATTGATCTTTTCTGGTCCTATGGCCACTGATGAGTTTTTCAAATTTGCTGACATATTGAGTTTAGCCCTTTAACAGCATCACCTTTTAGGATTTCAAATGGCTCAGCTGAAATTCCATCACTTCCACTAGTTTGTTTGTAATGATGCTTCCTA